ACATATCTTGCAGTTTGACGATGATTTTGAGCGAACTTTGAGAAGAAAAAGGAAGGAGCCAGAACTTAATCCACCTAGTTCTACCTCTAAATTTGAGTTTGAAGAAGAACAAGAGGAAAAACAAATCATGGTTGCGAATAATCGAACAATCAAGGAACTTTCAGCCTTGAGATTGGACAATGTCGTACCCCTATGCATTCAATATCCTAGGGCAGCTCAAGACAAGACCGATGAGTTCGAATTGAAGTCTAGCTTGCTGCATCATATTCCCAAATACCATGGGCTGTCCATGGAATATCCAAACAAGCACTTGAAGGAATTCGAAGTAGTATGTTAAAGCATGACCCCGATCAACATGGATGGCAACATTTTGAAGATGAAAGCTTTTCCATTCTCTCTTTTGGAAAAAGCTAAGGATTAGTTGTACGAATTGGCACCTGGAACCGTGACTTCTTGGGAAAAATGAAGATAGCATTCTTGGAGAAGTTCTTTCCAACATCAAGAGTCATTCTTTTGAGGACGAGGATTAGTGGCATTCAACAAAATCAAGGAGAATCCTTTCCGGCGTATTATGAGCGTTTCAAGACTCTCGTTGCATCATGTCCTCAACATCAAATGAAAGAAGAGCTTCTAATTCAATATTTCTACGAATGACTCCTTCCAATTGAAAGACAAATGCTAGATGCCTCAGCGGGATGAGCTTTGGTTAACAAAACCCCCGTTGCTGCCAAAATCCTCAAAGCCAATCGAGCCTTGAATGCACAACAATACGAAGGAGTTGGACAAAGAGACCCCCCACGGCAACAACAACAAGTGAAGGAGGTAAGTGCAATTTCTGAAATTCAATAATATCATTGTTCTTGTGTCACAGGTTGTTGATGGATCCAAAGTGCAAACAGCAAATGTATGTGGTGTGTTCACCATGCAAGGACACCCATATGAGCAGTGTCCTCAATTGATAGAGAATGGAGGATGGGAAAGTGCCAATGCCATGGGCTATCCAGGCCAAAGTCAACCAAGGCATGATCCATACGCCAACACTTACAATCCGAGATGGAAAGATCACCTAAACATGAAGTGGAGGGAGCCTCAACAACCTCAACAACAAGGAGGATTTCGATAGCCACCCCCTGGGGTATTTCAAAGGCCATTTATACTAATGCAACCTCAACCACCCCCGGTTCAACCAAATTCAAGTATGTCTTTGGATAATGATAAAGTTATTCAATTACTCACCTCTTTGACACAAGGAGTACAAAATTAAGCCAACGAGATGCAAAATCAAGCTAAAGAGGTGGATGAATTGAAGAAGCAAATGAGGTAGATCGTGGAGTTCATGGGACAATTTAGAGAACAAGGCAAACTACCTAGTTCAACCATTGTGAATCCAAGTGGAGGATTTGAAACCGCCAATGCTATCACGTTAAGAAGTGGCAAGGAAGTTGGAACCGACCCACAACCATCCAAATCAAGCCAAAAGGAGGATGAAAAGCTGCTGCACAAAGAAGACGAGAAAGGCAAGGCCACGACAAGGTTGGAGCAACCCTTGTCGTAGCCTTCTAAGGATCCCAAATCGTCAAATTTAGGTAAGGTATGTCCAAATTCAATTGTTTCTAATCCTATTCCACCAAATGTGCCTTTTCCTTACAAATTTATGCAATCTAGGAATGAAGAGAATGAAAAAGACATTATAGAAACATTTTGGAAAGTGCAAGTCAATATCCCTCTTCTTGATGCAATAAAGCAAATTCCGAAGTATGCCAAGTTTTTGAAGAAGTTTTGTACAACAAAGAAACAAATTTGGGAGAAAGAGGTGGTACATGTAAGTGAAAATGTCTCTGCAATGTTGCAAAGGAAGCTGCCACCTAAATGCAAGGATCCAGGTAGTTTCACAATCCCTTGTGTAATTGGTAATACAAGGTTTGTGCATGCCATGTTAGACCTAGGTACATCCATTAATGTCATGCCTTACTCTATTTATACATCTATGAACTTAGGAGAGCTGAAAAATGATGGAGTTATTATTCAATTAGCTGATCGTTCTAATGCATATCCAAAAGGAGTTTTGGAAGATGTTTTGGTGTAGGTAGATCATTTGATTTTTCCGGCTGATTTCTATATGCTTGAAATGGAAGATTTAGCCCATTCTCCTCCTTTGCCAATCCTACTTGGAAGACCATTCATGAAAACAGCCCAAACCAAGATTGATGTGGCCAAGGAAGCATTAACAACAGAATTTGGTGGTGATATAATTAAATTCAATGTTTCTGAATCTATTAAGAATCCTAATGATGTTCATCCTTGTTTTTCCATTGATGTGAATAAAGATATAGGGTAGGAACGTTCAACACCTATCAAGACGGATGTATTTCAAACCACCATTGAAGAGGGAATTGGAGTGGAGCACAAGGAACACACCACTGCCCTCAAAACACCCAATTTGGCCGAAAGCACCCCTAGTGAAGTTGTTGACAGTGCTGCCACTTTTGAGCCTCCGTCGCCGTATATTGGTGAACCACTTATCACAATTCCAATTCCCATTTCAACTAATAGGTTGTTACCTTTTTTGGTGCAGGTACCCAATCGAATCCAAGGTGGTGGGAGTGTTTACATTGACTTTAGGAAGCTCAACACCACAATCAGGAAGGATCACTATCCCCTTCCATTCATTGAGCCTTACTATGAGAATTTTGAGGAGCGTGTTGTGGACGACATACCCCTCCATGCCATGGGCACTAATGAAGCTTAAAAGGAGGTATCGTCCGACTGGAAGACGTTAAAGCAAGCGCTCCTAGGGAGGTAACCCATGCAATTGAATAAAGAAGGCCTAAGAATCTCTAACAATCCACAACCAGATTTACATTCTTAACCTTACTCCTTATTGCTTTTACTTTTCCATACATGTCATGTTTGTTAGTTGTTGTTTAATGGTTTGTGTGTGAGTCTATATTTGAAACATTGAGGACAATGTTTGGTTGAAGTGTGTGGGTGGGGGGGGTAAACAAAGTGTTTTTCATGAAACTTCATCAGATTTTATCACCTGTCACTTCTAAAGTTGTTACTCACTCTATTTAAGTGTTTATATTGTGTTTTGAAAGGAAAATACGAAAATTTGAAGAAAAAAATCGAAAAAGTTTTGAAAAACCCAAAAAGAGTCGTTTTTAGTGTCGTTTTTTATGTTTGTTTGTCTTAGGGTACCTTCCAACACAATGATGAGGATTTGGTTTTTAATAACATGATTGTTAAAGAAAGTTACAAACATGGATGGAAATTTGATTTGCTCTTTGGTTTATGCTTAGTTGTAGTTGTCGTTTACGAATTCACATGTAATCACAAAAAGGAAAAAAAATCAGTTTTTGTAACATGCTTGAAGGAAGGAACTCAAATTAACGCTACAACCCTGAGAGACTTAAGCCTAAACTTTGTTTGGAGAGTTAGTAATCTGTGAATTCTTGTTTTCTAAGTCGTTGCATGATCTCATTATTTCTTTGCTTGGTTGCTACTTAGAATGCATTTTCGTCATTATAGTTCCAAATACTAGAACTCAAGCCCGTTTCATTCAAAGCATGATATTGACTGCATAACATACAATAAGATGAAGTTGTTTAGTTAAACCAGAGCCAAAAAGCCTTGTCCCTTTGCATATGTATTGTAGGTTTAACCCATTTGAGCCTTATTTAGCCTATTTTCTTTGTTAGCCACATTATCCTTACCTAGCCTATATTAGGACTATCCATACCCTTCTTGTTAAAGAATAGTGAAGCATGACTTAGAGGGAATTCCTTTGATCTACATTATGCAGAAGAACAAGTGTGGGGGAAGGTTTTCTTTGGAAATATGAAACTTTAAAAAAAAAAAAAAAAAAAAAAAAGAAGAATAAACGTGAAAAAGAAAAAAAAGAAAAGAAAAAGAGTTGAGAAATAAGTGAGAACGAACTCACAAGTTATGGTTGTTGAAGAAAGGGTCCAAAAGTTTGAATCTGGCCCTAAATGATGTGTGAATCTTCCCTTGGGTGTTTAAAGTTGATTTCTGCATTCAAAAGTGAATTCTAAGTGTTTATTTCATTACTTTACTTACTATCACTTTAAGAACTTTTGTTTATCCTTACCTTTCTTTGTTAGCCAATACCCTAGCCCCATTACAACCCTTAGACTTTTATCTTGATTGTTATGTGTTTCAATATGTGGAGTTTGAAATTGGTATGAACATATGGAATCCTTGGTTCTCACTTCTAAGTAGTAGCATTTCGTTCATGAGATCATATATACATGTATTAAAAATTCCAGAAATTGCTTTCTTTATTATAACATATGTGAGTGCTAGTCTACATGTTTACATCAATCTTCTCACATATACTTAGTGTAAGGAGTGTAGTCAGAAAATCTGTGTGAAAATAGAGAGTATATTCGGTGAGGAATTGAGCGAATTCTCTAAGGCATGTTACTACTTTCGAAATGTTGTTTTAATTGATTAAATGCGAGCTAGTGAGTGGTGACTGCGGTTAAGTGTTTGCTTAAGTGTAAAGAGAGCTAAAATCTGTGGGAGTAGTGATTTTTAATATGTCATGTTGCATTGGAAATCCCTGAGGTAAATGTTGGAAGGTCTAGAGTGTGTTTTGTTTGTTTTTGTTTTGCTCGAGGGCTAGCAAAAGCTAAGTGTGGGGGAATTGTTGGAACCTTATTGGACTCTAAACTTATCTGAGTTTAGTGGAAATTGAGAACAGTTAGAGTTAATAGGTGAATAAACTTCTTTCCTTTAAAGTAGGACATAATGGGTTAAACATGTTGGTGAGTGGATATCCCACGTTGGAATGTAAATGGGCGTGCAGTTTTGCCAAGCAGTTTCTGTGATAGGTGGAAACAGTTGTGGTTACACGTCTATAAAAGGATAAGTCCCTGCTCAAGAGGAATAAGTTCATATATCAGAAAACCTAGCCCTATTCTAGAAAGAACATCAGGTCCTCCTTGAGTAGAAGATTTCCTTTTCTTTCCCTGCGATCAATGGCTTCACAAGGTCATAACTCAAATCACAATATTACATGCATGTTCGTAATCTATGTTTGCGGCAATATTAAATTCCAGCATTTGGTATTAGAGCATATAATAGCTCTTCATAGATTCTTTGATGTGTATAAGGAAGTTTGCTTAATTGATTTATTCATCTTTTCGTGTTTTACTGATGATTTGGTTTCTTGAGTATCACAAGTACAGCAATGGATTTTGCGCTAAGATGATTTAAGTTCCAACCTTAACATCATTGAAGGATACATGCTGATAAAACCATTTGAAACAACTATTTGTAAAGCTTTACCAAAGTGAAGTTTTTTAAGAAATTTTGTTTATAAGGAAGGAGGCATGGTTGTGTTCTATAAGTCATGACATGATAACGTACTACTCTAAAGAGAAGAAGGTTAACTGGTTGGATTTATGAATCAGTACATAGGTTTTTAATGAATGTTTGAGCCAACTATTTTCTTATCCAAAGATTTGAAATATGTGTTGTAACTTAAGTATTTGTTAAAAGGGCTATGTAATTAGGATGCATATGGTTTTATGTGAATAAAAAAAAAAAAAAAAAAAACTACAGTAATTTATCTTGCCCAAAGGTGTTGCATATACTGTGATAGTTGTAACATTGTTTACAATGTTGTTTAACTTTTATTTGGTTTGACAGTGAATGCGAATGCACTGAGCTTTTCCTCCCTTGAACCACTTAATGGAGGGAATTACAAAAAGTGGAGACAGGATGTAGAGACTGTGCTTGGCTTAATGGACTATGACCTTACACTGAGGAAGGATGAACCACCTACTGTGACAACGAACAGCACTGCAGAGCAAAGATTGAAGTATGAGAAATGGGAGAAGTCAAATCGAATGGCTCTCATGGTCATGAAAAGGTCCATCAGTGAGGCTGTGAGAGGTGGCATACCGTCATGTGACAAAGCTAAGGCTTTCCTTGAGGCTGTTAGAGCAAAATTCAAGATGTCCGAGAAAGAAGAGATGGCGAACCTGATGACCACACTGACTTCTCAGAAGTTCGATGGCAAAACGAGTGTCCGGGAGCATATACTGAAAATGGTAGAGGCTGCCGCCAAGCTCAAGGATCTGGAGGTGCCAATTGATGATTCCTTTGTTGTTCACATGGCTCTTTCATCCCTTCCTGAGTCATTTGAACAACTTAAGGTGTTGTACAATACTTAAAAGGAGAAATGGAGTCTCAATGAGATGATTTCTATCTGTGCACAAAAGGAGAGCAGGCTGAATTGTGCAAAGAGTGCGGTGGTGAACCTTGTTGACTACAATGCAAGTAAGAATCCTATGGTGAATGCCGGTAAGCAGACTAAGCCTTTTAATACCTCCACTACTACTACCAATGTTGCTTCTTCCTCTAGAGGACCTCAAAACCTTAGGCCAAATTTGGAGAATGTGACATGCTATTTTTGCAAACAATATGGACACTTGAAAAGGGACTGCGAGAAACGTAAAAAATAGGCAATGAAGAAAGGAAAAAGTACAAAGGTTTTCAATGTTTTTGTTTGTTTTCAAACTTTACTTGTTGAACCCCTCCAAATACTTGGTGGTTTGACACTGGTTGTTCGGTGCATATTACCAATTCCTTGCAGGGATTTTCAAGAAAAATGTCAACAAGTAATGAAGTCTTTGAAGTGCATGTGAGCAATGGGAATAAAGTGGCTGTGGAAGCAATAGGCAACCTTAAGCTCAAGTTGTCGTCAAGCTTTATTTTAGAACTTTCAGACGTACTTTATGTTCCTACTTTAACTAGGTCTTTAATTTCTGCTTCAAGACTTGTAAAAGACGGTTTTGCTTTTGTTAGTGATGATGAAAGCATAAGGATCTTTATGAAAAATAATTTGAGTCAATTGCTGGGCATTTGTCTTTTAGACAATGATTTATGGAAATTAGATTGTGTTTTCATGAATGATTTGAGTTGTTACACTTTAGACTCTTCTGTTCGAATGAAAAGGCCTTTATCAAATGATCTTTCTTCCATGCTTTGCCATAGAAGGTTGGGTCATATTTCAAAGCAAAGACTGCAGCGTTTGGTGCATGAAAATATTTTGCCAGCCTTGGATTTTAATGACTTGCATGAGTGTGTGGATTGTTACAAGGGCAAGTTAACTAAAACCAAGAAAAAGGACGCAACAAGAAGTCAAAAACTGTTAGAAATAATTCATTCGGATGTTTGTGGTCCTTTTCCAGTTAAAACAATCTGTGGAAATATTTATTTTGTGAGTTTTATTGATGATTTTTCAAGGTATGGAAGTGTCTATCTAATTTCAAAAAAATCACAAGTCCCAAATTGTTTTAAAATTTTTAAAACAGAAGTAGAGAACCAATTAAACACTACAATTAAGGTTTTGAGATCGGATAGGGGAGGAGAATACTTTGGCAGGTTCACTGAGGCTGGGCAACAAAAAGGACCGCTGGCTATGTATCTAGAAGAGTGTGGCATCCAAGCTCAGTACACCACACCTGAGACGCCTGATCAAAACGGTGTGGCGGAGTGGAGGAATAGGACATTGATAGAGATGACAAAAAACATGATGAGCAGGTCAGTTCTACCTCAGTTTCTTTGGGGAAAAGCATTAAAGATGGCAAACTATATAATGAATCGTGTTCCTAGCAAATCAGTGAGTAAGACACCCTTTGAACTTTGGACTTCGAGGAAACCTAGCATCAATCACCTACATGTATGGGGTTGTAGGGCAGAAGCAAGAATGTATAATCTGCAAGAAAAGAAACTTGATTCAAGGACAGTGAGTTGTCACTTTATTGGTTTTCCTGAGAAGTCTAAAGGATACAAGTTTTATGCTTCACACTTGCAGACTAGGGTTTTCGAGACTAACAATGCAAAGTTCATCGAGGAAGAAGTGAATGGTGATGAAAATGCTAGCAATTTTTTTTTCAGGATCTTGGGAATCCCACTGATGTGTTGAGCAATAATGATGAAGGGAGTCAAAGCCTTGGAGAAACTATAGTTTTTCAAACTAGTTTCTCGCAACCATCACATGAAAATAATGCTGCAGAAGGTCATCAAATAAATGAACCACAACAAGATGGAGCAATAGTTGAACATGATGCTGATGAGTTGCAAATTACCTTGGAAGCACCAACAAGAGCCTCACAAAGAATTCGCACATCGACGATTCCAGAAGATTATATCACTTACTTTTGTGAAGTTGAACATGATGAAGGTATAATGACTGATCCAGCAACTTACGTGCATGCAACTAAAAGTGAAAACTCTTTATCATGGCAGCAAGCAATGGAAGAGGAGATAGGGTCTATGCATTTTAATCAGGTGTGGACTCTCATAGAGAAGACAGAAACTATGACACCTATTGGATGCAAATGGATGTACAAAACTAAGAAAGATTCGAAAGGGAAGGTTGAAAGGTTCAAAGCGAGATTGGTGGCTAAAGGCTTCAATCAAAGGGAAGAGGTAGACTATAACGAAACATTTTCTCCCGTGTCATCCAAGGATTCCCTGTGGATAATCTTAGCACTCGTGGCACATTTTGACTTGGAACTTCACCAAATGGACGTCAAAACGGCATTTCTAAATGGTGACTTGGAAGAGGAAATTTATATGAACCAACCTCTTGGTTTCATTGAAGAGGGCAAAGAACACCTAGTTTGCAGATTGAGCAAGTCTATATATGGTTTAAAGCAAGCATCGAGGCAGTGGTTTATGAAATTTGATGAAAAGGTAACTCATGTTGGCTTCATTGAGAATAAGGTTGATGATTTTAAAAGCATTGGTTCCAAGTTTATTTTCCTTATACTTTATGTTGACGATATACTTCTTGCAAGCAATGATTTGAACCTATTGCTTGAAACCAAGTTGTTGTTGTCAAACACCTTTGATATGAAAGACTTGGGGGAGGCCTTTTTGTTCTCGGCATAGAGATTAAAAAAGACAGGTCAAGAAACTTGTTGGGGATTTCGCAAAGGTCATACATTGAGAAAATATTAAAACATTTCAACATGGAAGGATGTTCAGGAGGAGAAGTCCCGATGAGCAAGGGTGATAAATTGAATAAGGAGCAATGTCCTAAGAATGACTTGGAAAGGAAAACCATGTTGAACAAACCCTATGCTTCATTGGTGGGGAGCTTGATGTATGCTCAGGTTTGCTCAAGTTTGTACTAGACCTGACTTAGCTTACTCAATTAGTGTACTTGGGAGGTATCAATCAAATCCTGGAAAACAACATTAGGTGGCAGCTAAGAAGGTAATGAGATATTTGCAAAGAACAAAATCACACATGCTTGTGTATGGAAAGAGTGAAAAGCTAGAAGTGGTAGGGTACTCTGATTCGGATTTTGCAGGCTGCACAGATGATAGAAGGTCCACAAGTGGTTATTTGTTCTTCATGGCTGGAGGAGCAATCTCGTGGAGAAGTGCAAAACAGAAGACACTTGCGACATCGACCATGCAAGCTAAATATATTGCTGCTTTTGAAGCCAAACAAAAAGCACTGTGGATCAAGGATTTGGTTAGTCTAATGGGAATCGTGGACAGTATTTCAAGACCAATTGTTATACATTGCAATAACAAAGCTGCAGTATTCATCTTTAAAAACAACAAGCAGTCATCTGCAAATAGACTGATGGACATCAAATATCGATCTGTTAGAGAGGATGTCAAAAGTGGTTTAGTGGTAATTGAGCATATTGACACGGGTTCGATGATAGCAGATCCCTTCACAAAACCATTACCAGTTGCAGTGTTTCAGTAGCACGTTGCAAAAATGGGGGCACTGGAGTCTTTTGATTCAGTGACTATGTGGGAGTAAAACTTAGTCTTGTCTTATTTGCTTTGTAGTTGTTTATTGCAATAGATGAATTCTAAATTTATTTCATGTACTGCTTTTGATTTGAGCTAGTAATCATTAATGAGACTTAGCTGAAAAGCTATAATCATATATGTGATATTTCTGCAATGAAGCTCGATTGTTTTAAAAGCTTGTCAGGTTGCTATTTCATCCTATTTTTCAGCATGCAGAAAGTTGAAGTTGGATTATTGCTAACTAAGGCAACATTAAGGTAATGGGAAAAATAGTGGGAGCGTACAGTAAAGCTCTCTTATAGCTAACATGTTTAAGCATCATAAGTGAATAATTGAATGTTATAGTGATTTCAGAGTGGCTGCACCATTTTGCGCAAACTTTTCTGAAGTTCTATGACTTGAGTCATTCTTGGTGGATGTGTGAGGATGTATTTATTTATTTATTAACTCATGTGATCACTAAGGAACTGTTGTCAGTAGAAACATTGCTCAAAACAAAGACGATAAGTTTAGGTCCAAGTGGGAGAATGTTGGAACCTTATTGGACTCTAAACTTATCTTATTCGGGTTTTTGAGTTTAGTGGAAATTGAGAACAGTTAGAGTTAATAGGTGAATAAACTTCTTTCCTTTAAAGTAGGACATTAAGGGTTAAACATGTTGGTGAGTGGATATCCCACGTTGGAATGTAAATGGGAGTGCAGTTTTGCCAAGCAATTTCTGTGATAGGTGGAAACAGTTGTGGTTACACGTCTATAAAAGGATAAGTCCCTGCTCAAGAGGAATAAGTTCATATATCAAAAAATCTAGCCCTATTCTAGAAAGAACATCAGGTCCTCCTTGAGTAGAAGATTTCCTTTTCTTTCCCTGCAATCAATGGCTTCACAAGGTCAGAACTCAAATCACAGTACTACATGCATGTTCGTAATCTATGTTTGCGACTATATTAAATTCCAGCAGGAATTTGATAGGAGCATATTTATGCGACTTTGTTAGTTTAATTCCTTGCATTTAATGAGTTAGTTTCTATTTATTATAGTAATTTATGCTATTTGCGTGTGTTTGTAGGTCCAATTGACTAAAGTGGCAAGAAAAGACAATTTGGAGCATTTTAGAGCAGTTTTGGGTTTGGAATGAATAGCACATGCATGGAGTAAGGTGGATGAACGAATTTGAAGTTCTAGAAGGGCTAAGAATATGCTAAAGAGATGGAAGAATAAATTCAAGAAAAATAAGATATGAAGCTCAGCAAAGAAAGAAGGAAACAAGAGCCAAACTACCTTATTTTGACTTAGTCAATCCAAATCTTTTCCTACTTATGGTCCAGCTGCCAAGAGGATCCCTAATTAATTTAGGACACTTAAATATATGTTTCTAGAAGTCGTAATCC